TCTTCACTTTAGGGGTTGGATATTGGGTTGGTGCTAGGGGAATGCATGTCATACTGCCGCCTGATGCTTTGCTGAAGGGGGAGAGGGGCAGTTTTAGACAGGTCACAAATTTCCATGTCTTGGCTGGTGTAAATGGGAGTCTCCCGAGACTCGTGCTCAGCACCTGGCCTTTCCCTGGCTGTCAGCTCCAAAACACGTGGGACTGCTCTTCTCCCCGAGTGGCACTGCTCTTTGCTGGTGCACAGTCCAAGCCGCTGACAAAGGGCAGGTTTATTCCTTTTGTTGGTATCGCTCTTAGCTTTTCTGCAGGTGATCAGAGCTCTTCTCTCTCCAAGGGTTTGGCAGAGCCGTTAGCTGTGTCCCATGTGAAGGCTGGCATTGCCTGTCTCCCTCCTGGCTGCAGAGCTGCAGCTGGGCACAGCTTACACCAGCTCTCCTGGCACTGCAAAACCAGTCTTGCAGGTGAAGATACAGGGGTTGCAGCTGTTGGGAAAAGGCTTTTTGCACCTAAACGCTGCTAAGCAGCTCTGTAGTAAGCTAGATGTGGGGCAGAGAAGGGTGTGAGGAATGATCGAAGCTCCCTGAGTAACACCTGGAATGAGCAAACAACAAACTTCCTTCCTCTGGAAGAGAAACTGTGGCTGTGACACAGGTCTGCAAAAGGAGCAACATGGAGTAGGTGAATGCAGAGTAATCCTTACTGGGTTTTCTAATAAAACGCTTGGGGATATCAAACGAAGCAAGCAAGTGGCGGGTCAAAACAAAGCAAGGGCAGATACTTTTGTATTTAAAGGTAGTGAGGCTGTGGGACTGTGGGGCTTGGAGGATATTGCAAATGCTTAAAATTAATGTGAGTTCAGAAAGTAATTAGAAAAATCTGTGAAACGCAGAGACGTTGCTCCTGCTTCAGGGAGTCCCTGCCCTGTACCTTGCAGGAAGCTGGGCACAGGACGGCTCACTGTACACTCTCTAGCCCTGTGCTGTTGGCCCTTGTTGAAGATAAACTAGTGTGTTACAGGGACCTTCAGTCAAGCTGTGTATGGCCTTTCCTGTATTTTTAAACTGGACACTGAAAAACTGTTGGAGACAAGATGCGCACATCCCAGTATGCTGTTTTAACAGAACAGGCCTCGCTTCTCCACCCGTGCTTGGGCTCTGGGTTTGACAAGCTGCACAGTGGCGTAACACACCATCACGGATCTTCTCCGGTGACCACAGCATTTGCTGCTTCTTGAGGCGGGGGCCACATGAAATCAAAAGCTATCACAGTAAGAGATGCAGCCAGTTACGCCACGTGATAGGTCATGCTTCTGCTTGTCTCCACACCCACTCCACATCCAGCGTTTGTCAACATGGCTGGGCATGCGAGTCGATCTCTGTGATGTCCTCTTCCCCAGAAAAACAGTAAGAGGGAAGAAAGTCCTTTGAAAGTCCAGTGTGCTTCTCTGCTCAGATTTACGGTCTTCCCTGTAGCCGTGATAATCCAAATTGCCCATCTGCTTTGTCGTGACAAGCGGCAGGACCCGGCAGGGCTGCTCCCCCTGCACTGTGGCATTGTGGTGCTGCAGTGCCTGAGGGCAACCTGGGTTTGCTCTGCACGGTTTGCACCAGTCTTTAAGCAGATGCTGCTAATTCGGACACAAACAATTCGCTCTTCCATGACTCTCCGTTTTGCTCCTGCTACCAGAGAGCAATCCTCACCTAGGAGGGGTCTCCCACCGGCAGGGAGGCAGGAGAGTGCAACTTCCTTTTTGCTTGTCACAGTTTGTCCAAAACCAATTTACATCAGTGGGCTAATAAAGGTGCTTGCACTTAAGAGGTCCCAGTCTAGGGTAAAACCTGCCCCAGCACTGCCCGATGACTCCCATCATTGCCCTTCAAACTTGCAAGGCTTTTGTGTTTCCCTTCCCTGCCGTCTGCAGAGGCGGCAAGGCGAGGGCTGGGCAGGACACACAGAAAGTGGTCTGTGTGAGACCCACGGGGGTCCTGCCTTTCTTACGGATCTTTCGATTTAGGTGTTTGTGCTGCATCATCCCTGAGGTCTCCGAGCTGTTTGTTAACAAGGCTTTGAGAGGGGAGAGGATTATGTGCAATCCAACAAAGCAAATCAAAGCTGTGTGGTGAGCTTAAGGAGTGTAAGTGTGAGCTCTAGGATTAAGTAATCTGGGGGAGCGGGCAATGGTTAGGTACAGCGCGGTGTGCCTGCCTGATAACATACTGTACATGTCAGTTGATTTTTATCCTTAAACTATTGCGCTTGCAGACCCAGGTAAACAAATAACACAGTTCCCCTTATCGCTGTGTACGGAGCAGTTAAAGGTGGGGTTCTCCTGTTTCAAGCCTCTGCAGCGGCCGAGCCGCGCCGGCGTGGTGCACCCATCAGAGGCTGCCGTGGCTCAAGTCACAGCAGGGACGGCCCTGTGGCCGTGGCGCGTACGGAGATCATTTCCCAGCCTTGTTTACTCCTGCAGGCCGGGGTCGATGGCTTTGCAGCTCCTGAGACCGCCAGCAAAACTTCCAGGTGGAGCGGTCTCCTGGACCAGCTCACTTTCCCACAGCGAGTGCATTAAGTGGTTTGATTTTTAACTATTTAAAACAAAAGAAGGAGTTGGCTGTTTGGTTTCTGTTAACCTTTTCCTTCTAAGGTAACTATTCCAGTAAGATAAATTATTCTCAGGAAAAAAAAGCTATTTACAAAGAAGTAGCCTTTATTCTTTTTCTAATTGCCTACCATACTAATGAATAAGTATGAGTCTGTGCTGAAAATGTTTTCTGAAGTACTTTCAGCCCACATGTCATGGGTTTGTTAAAAATAAATAAAAGTTCTAGGGAGGCAAATACTGTGAAAACTGTGTCCCTAGATACTTTTTTAAAAATAAAATCTGCCCCAGAAATTTCTGTAAATGTCTTTGTAGAAGTAGGATTGTACCTGAGAGCCAGAGAGAATAGATGGCTGGAACCAAGCATGGAAGAGCCGTGCCAAGCTGGATGAGACAGAGGTTTAAACAGTAGAGATTCATCAGGGCTCTTTATTACTGTTTCTGTTTTAACTATCTAGAGTGGTGTCGATAGTTTCTCAGATGATAAAGCTATAATTGTGGTGTGACAAGCACAGCCATATTTGCCTCAGAGAAATATGAAATCTTGTTTCCTTCCCTTCGAAAATTATTTTCAAATAATTACAGAGTTTTTATGACAGTGCCCATTCCTTTTACGAGCCTTTTTATGCGGTTCTGTGGTATTTCTTTGTAAGCGTTAAGGTCAGATGCCTATTCTTTCTTCTAACATGTTGTTACACCATTATGAAAAATGCAAATGTTTGGGAATGTATCATCCATAAAATAATATAAATCTGTGCAATGATGTCAAATGACCAAAGTTCAGCTGAAATAACTGGTGCTCGACTTTGGATATGCCAGCTGAAGGAAGAGGTGCGCCATGTCATGTGGAGACAGTCCAAAGAAGAGTGACAAAAATGATAAAGACCCCAGCTCTGAGGAACCTGAAGGGGCTGGGATTGGTTAATGTGGACGCTGAAGTGTAAAACCCTGTGAGGATGGCTGCAAAGGGAGCATGCCCATGGCGGATAGGACGGGCTGACATCTACCAGGGAGATCTGGGGTAGGCAATAGGAAGAAGTTGCTTGCTGCCAGTTTGCTAAGCACTGAAATAGGTGGCCCCGGGAGGGCTGTGGTTGCCATCCTGAAAGGGGCAGATTAGACAGACAGAGAGTAGGGGTGATACAGGCCTTGAGGTTAGGGAATGGGCCTGATGACCTTCACATCATGCTTGCCACGAAAGCTGGGATTTATTCATTTTTAATGACCTGACTCCCAAGGCTGTGGCTTTGGGAGAAAAAGCCAGGTATGATGAAACCCACAGTCACCTGACGGGCTTGGAAACAGTGGAAAAATCCCATCTGGTGAACTAGAAACTGCCTACATGGACACGAGCAGAACTCCGTCAGAGGTATGCCTTATTGCCCTCAAGTTGGCCAGAAGAGAGGAGAAGGAATAAAGTAGCAAAGCAACACATGATTTACTCTTCCTCCACGCCCTGCAGCCTCTGGCCATTTTTGTTGCCTGTTGAAACGTGAAGTGATCTGCGCCCGTACTGTTTGAATAGCAAATATCAGTGCAGCATAAAGCAGAGTGCACACATATTAGAAAATGAGCAGCCTCTGGTATTTTATAGCATAACATGCAGCAATAACACTCGCAGGTTGCTGTTCTGTCATTTTCCGATTGCTTTACAAAGGCTGGCTGCTTATCCTCAGTCTCATTTAGCTCAGGAGGAAGTGAGGAAAAGAAGAATGGAAGTAAAAAGCAAGCAAGCAATTTGGTAATTTATATGCATATTTTGGTTGTAGCATGCTGAGTCAACTGTTTACCTGTTAGTAGGAAAGCGGCTAAAATAAAATGTTGTCTTGGTTAGGTTAATACCGCGTGAGGAGCTGTAGGACGGGGAGGAAAGTAGGGCAGCTTGTTTTGGAACTTGTGCTGAAGAACAAATAAAAACCCCCAATGTACACATTCGGTTACCATATGTCGCTCTTATCATAAAAGGCATCTCGGTGTTTTTTCTTTGCAGGGATGCTTGAACTCCACGGAGGCAGGCTTCCCCGCTGAAGAAAGCGCATGCCAGAGGTGCTGGAGTTGCTGTTGGTGAGACGAGCTTTCGTGCCCGCTGAGGCAGCTAAGGCGGGCGGCAAGCTCGCTCCTTCCCGTGGTCGCCTGTTTGATTGACGTTGGCTTCCAAATCGCTGCAACTGTGCCTGAAGAAAAGCGAAGGAGCATAATTTTGCTGAGAGAATCTTCTGGCAGGGGAAGGCATGCAGTGCAGAGAAACGTGCCAGTGAAGAGCCTGGAAGTGCAAGTCCAGGTGCTAACGCAACTTCCACCCAAGCCATGCTGTTGTGAAGTCCTTTTTCTCCTGCTGCGTCTTGCTCAGCGCACGAGGGCGGGCTGCACAGAGGCTGCCCATGGCATTGTGGCAGTCTGGGCTGGATTAGTTCCTGGTGTGCCATTGCTTCAGCTGTCTGAAGAACTGAAGAAGATTGCAGGGAAGATGTTGGACTTGAGCTTCCTGACCGAGGAGGAGTATGAGAAGCTGATGAAGGTTCTGCAGAGAGATGCAGAGCTGAAGAAGAAGGATGGGGATCGCATCAGGTGAGAGAGCGTACAATAACAGCAGGACGTGAGCTTCCCCTGGGGGGATTTTTTTACTACTTTTAGAGAGGACTCTGTGTGTGTTGTGTGTGTGTGCATGTGCGTGCAACAAGGAGAGATGCAGGCTGCAGCAGTGCTGTCCTTTCTTGCTCCGATCCTGACGGATCTTTTCATTTCACCTCCTGCATTCTCAGCATCCTGCTGTCGCTGCTGTCCTCTCTCTGCAGGATTGCAGGGCTGGACTCTCCCTTTGAGTTAATCAGCAGCCCTCAGAGACGCCAAGGGAAATCATCCCTTTCCTGCTCCGGGGAGGAAGATGCTGATTTCTCGGTGTCAGAGGTCTGAGCAGGGGAGTAGCTGCTACCTTGTTTTCCTCACTCCATAGCAGAGAAATCCTGTAGAGTGTTTTAAAATAAGATTTTACATCCCCATCTCTGCTTTGTGTCCCTCCGGTGCTCTTTGTATATGCAGCATCCATCGTGCAGGCAGAGAGGGGCAGTGAGAGGCTACATGATCTGCCAAAGGTTTGCGGGGAGCCATTTCAGAGCCAGGAATCGCTTTCAGTTCAGCTCACTTGCCACTGGCCATCCTGGAGCTCAGGTCTGGTTGATCGAGATTGCTTGTTGCTGCTGTCACTTTTTAAATGCCAGCCATTAGACCATCTGGGTTGACAGTATGCACCAGGCTCAGGAAGCTGGCACCAAACTCTCCGCGGCAAGAAATTAGTAGTTCAGTGAGCGTGGATGGCACTGTGCCAGTTTACCCCTGTTAAGGATGTGAGTCTTCGACTTGCTGTTGAGCCAAAAAAGAGTAAGCCCCATGTAGGAGGGATGCTCAAGGCTTGAAGCGGGAGTGGGTAGCTTTGCAGCAGGCTCCGGGGGGCCTACGTGCCCTGGCCTCTGCTCGGGGATGAGAGCTGGGGAAAAAGAACTGGTGGTGGCATACAAACAGCTTGGACTTGAGGTGTGCCTGTCTGCATGCACTTACATCTCCTTTGAATCGAAACAAGGTTTCAAAAAGGTTTTCTCTTTTTTTTTCTTCTTTTTCTGAAATGCAGTAAAATTTCTGCTCTGCAGTGGAGGTTTGGGGAAAAGAGTGTTCGGATTATTTCAGTTTTGTTTCACTTCTCTTTGGAAGCTGTTGCACAGAAGGTTTTCATTTGGGAGCAAAGTGAGTTGGATCCTGACCGGGGTGGTGCCAAGTGCCCCTTGCTGTCATATGGCTACATGCAGTAAGACCTTTGGTGCAAGCGTGGACACGTTTGGCTCCAATACAACCTGCCTGCTGGGCGAAATTAAGTCAAGGGCGTTACACTGATCTGGTGTCAACAAGATTAAGATTAAAAATATGTTCCTACACCTCCTCTGGCCCAGCACCTCGAGACCCTCACGGGGACAGATGCAGCCCCGATCTAGATGGGAGCTGTGCAGCTTGCTGGCTGTCAGTCCTGCTGGGCTCCCCCAGCACGGCCTGCAGAGGCTTGAGCCCCGTTATCCCATACCTGCTCCCTTCTGGCCTTTAGGCAGCCAAATGTGACCCTTCGAGGCTCCACGGTTATCTGGGATTTTGCCCCCTCTTCCAGCTGAGAATTGGACTGAGGTGGGAGTTTCCTCTGGCCTCTCGGGTCTCGCAGGGACCCTGAATTGTGGTGAGCTGTGGGAGGCAGTGCCAGCTGAAAGGCAGCTAATTCAGCAAGCTGTGGTGTAAAACCAAAATAACTGGAGGAGGGTTAAAAGTACAGGCTAGCAAACAGAGCGCTGACGGGTTTAGGTGCCAAAAACCAGCCCTGGGTGTGCCCAAGCGAGGTACAGTAGGAGAAGCTGGGCTCAGGAAGGAGAGCTAACTGTTTGAGTGCCAAAATTGGCATGGCAGGAGGAGCAGGGAGAGGAGCAGTGTCCGGGGAGAATTCTGCAGGGACAGGGTGCTCCCCTAAATAACATGATTTATTTCCATGGTTTGCATCAGATTTGATCCAAAAGGCTTTGCCGCTCATAAAGAGATTAATAGACAAATAAAATGGAGAAGTGCAAGACCTGCAAACAGCCCCACCCCTTCCCAGACCTTCAGGGCTGCAAAGCCAGTGGACAAATCTCCTTGCCAGGTGACTCTGATTTGGATTTGTAAAATTTGGAAGAGGTGAAGGCCTGTGTTTACAAGGTGCTGTTCCCATTTCAGATAAAGAATAAATCAGCTTTTGTTTTAATGCTGGTTTGGCCCTTGTGATTGCAGAGAGTAATCTCTGGATCCTTCGTAGTATCAGACAGGTGAACCGTACGGACAATTATTATGAAGGTAGCTCAGGGGAAGCCGAAACCTTGGAGATCTTTTTGGTGCATAATGTTCTCATTGACTTTCAGGCGGATACAAGGCTCCATCAAGGATGAAAAGAAGAAGAAGTTTGTGACAGGTGAATGGTTTTCAGAAGTGAAGGCAAAACGGTTTCAGGAAGACTTAGAGGGGCCGGATCTACTTCGGGCATCGATTAGAAGGAAAAAGGGCAAACTAGAAAGTAAGTATGTTAGTGTGCATCTTAAGAAAACAAATTGATGGACCAGAAAAAGTGGTCAAGTATGGGAGTCTCCCTGTACTGAGAGCCTTTTGGGGACCAGCCTTTGTGTGGTGAGAAGGGGATTCTCAGCTAAGCTTTCAGTACTAGAAAAAAAACCCTGATTATCAAAATCAGGGCCCAAAGAAAAAATTACAGTGCAGCAGAGGACTAAGGCAAAAGCTGTTTACCAGCTACGTGCAGTAAATGCCTTTTCACCGCTTCAGCTTCTTTCTTCCAAAATGTCTGTTTGTCAGAGGTCACTGGTATCATTTCTTGCCATAGAAGCAACAAGGGAAAGGGGTGATGTAGGGCAGTTTCTGGCATGAGACTGATATGTGTGGATCAAGCAGCCCCCCACAATTCCTAGAGTGGTCTGACAAAAACAGACAGACGGCTGCTTTCGCAGGCCTCTGGGGTGGCGGGGTTCGTCACATCTCTGCAAAGGGATGGGGTGCCTCTCTTCTCCTGGCAAGTATTTGCCCACTGTAAGAGGGGAACGTTGGTCCGTGCCTAGCATTTTATATGGGAATAATTCCAAGGCACAATGTGGTTTTCAAAGTAAAAAGGGCTTTGGGGCCAAGTCTGAATGCTACCCAGGCTGCTGCGCCATAGCAAGGGTATGTCTGGGACCATGTGCTAATTCGAAGCAAATGTATTGTGTGTTGTTTGACATGCAGATGAACTCTCATGGTGGTATGTAAAACAGATCAAATCAGATTTGTCGGCTCAGGGCAGAGAAGAGAAAAGCTCAGCCCCCTGTGAAACAAGCAGGACTGTGTTTTGAGTCCAAATGTAACCAGCCTGGAGCTGGCACTTCGCGCTGAGCATTTGTGCAAAGCAGAACTGGGGATGAGTCACATCCAGTCCTCAACATGAAGACAGGCCAACCGGCTCCGCAGCAGGACTGTGGGACTGCAGCCCAGTCTCACAGAACCTCCTTGATTATTTGTCAGGGTGGGTAATCACAGATACTCTGACATGGCTGGTGAGTTGCTGGCTGCTGCTGCTCTGGGGAAGCCACAGCCCTGACAGACAGCTCTAAGCGACGTCTACCACGGTCCCTAATGTAAGGACCCTATAACTGGGCTCTGTTCTTTCGCAATAAAGGCTACTCAGAGATAAAGGGTTATCTTCCATCTGTCCAAAACTCAAATGTCATCTCTACCAGTTCAGCTCTTTCCTGGGCCCAGCT